GATGTGGGCTCCGACCTGAGGCACCTGGGCTCGGATCTGAAGGACCCGGGCTCCGACCTGAGATTTGAAGGAGAGGTTCTGGGACAGGGGATTGGGGCTGCCCGTTGAGAGGAGTGTCCAGGCCGTGGGGCAGAGGCCCCCTTGGTGTTCCTGGGCTCCCAAGGACAAAGACAAGTCCAAAAGCAGCCCTCGGGTCCCTAGACCTGTAGCCTCCTCTTCTCCATTTTGCAGGCGTCTGACGTGTGTTTCTGGTGTTTTTGTCCAACGTTTACAGGTATAAGAAGTGGAGGTGGAGAGAGAAAAATCTGTCTACTTCATCTTGTCCAAAATAGAAAATCCTCAAACTAAGTTTAAATTCCGTCCGAAGACATTTTAAAAATCAGTGTTTCTATGAGTATATTGGTATAGCCAAACCCAGTCTGTCTTTTTGACCATGAAAACCTTTAGTTTTGTAGCATCACGTGTTGAATGACGGCTTACAGCACGTGCCAGGCACAGGTGTACCACACACAGGTGTGCAGAGCACCCAGCCCCCCCTCCACACACACACACACACACACACACACACACACTTATGTGGCACCAGGTAGACAGCCCAGCCCACGTGTGCATTTCCCATGGCAATTCCCGACTCTCAGGCAGCAAGCGGAGGGACAGGACACCAGCTAGTGGCCTGAAGAGTCACCTGGGGAGAGGGCTTAGGGAGAAGACGTGGAGGTGGGTTTGGACGTGGTGTGAAGGCAAATGTGAACCGAACTTAACCACAATCACCTATTCTTTAACATTGCATTCACATATTGAATGAATTTCATTGTTTTTCTAAAGGGTGTTTTCTTGGATTAAATCTTATTATGAAAAATAAATAAATAACGCAAAACTTGGAAGACACGATATGCTTAAGCAAAGTAGGGAATCAACAGTGGGAAAACTCTTCACGTTTTGCGTCTTTCCTTCTAGGCTGTTTAATGTTTTATGTCTGCTGTGTTTTTAAAACTAAGAATTTAGACTTTTATTTCAATATTTTTTTTTCCATAACAAGTTTCCAATTTTATACTGTTCTATTCTTAGCTGAACTGCAGTCATTATGTCTTCCTGGGACTTACCAAGAGAAGATTACGCACCTAGGAAATTCTCTGATGAATTTGACAGGCCTAAAATCTTTAGATCTCTCACGCAACTCGCTGGTTAGTTTAGAGGTAAGTTCTAGCTTCACTTGTTGTGAAGAGCAGTGCCGAGCAAACTCTGTTCTGTAACTGTGCTTGTGGAGTTTTCTTGTGTTTACATTGAGTGAGATCCTGACTCGTTCCATCTCATCTTGAACTTACTTTTGCTTTTCAAAAGCCATAGCTTGCTGTTATGTTCATGTCTTCTGAGGAAATGAATCAAGTCCCCAGAGCCTCACATCCGTGTCCCTGGCTCTCTATCTTTTATCAGCAGTGTTTCCTTCTAATTCGTGGTGCGCATCTGTGGACCTTGAGGGACAGCATGTTGGTGGAGGCCTGCTGCCTTTACTGAGCCCCGGATTGAGACTGGGCAGGCTCTCCGACCACTGGCTAATGGGAGCAGTTGTACAGATGGCTACTACGAAATGGACCTCTTACTTTGGCAGCAGCTTCCGGGAAACACAACCCTTTCACTTTGTAGAGGGAACCTGGCAGTAGCCAGGCCCTCAGACCTTTCCTGAAGCTCCGTTCTCTCTTCTGTAAAGTGAGAGTAAGAGCCACAGATCGGACTGGGTGCCGCTGAAGCGAAGGTGTGGGGAAATCACTCAGCTTGGCGCAGACTGAATCCTTAGTGAAGATGAATGTCCCCTGGACACTTGGGACTGTGGCAAACATGACTTGGCAAGCCTCGGTTCACTGTACGAGGGAGCTTCAAAAAATTCATGGGAAAATTCTGTTATCTTTAAATTCCATTTTTCCACGAACGATTTGAAGCCTTCTCGCATGTAAAACTGAACCGTGTTTCTGAGCATACATTTAACTTTGATACTCTCTGGAAATAAGTGTATTAATTGCAAGTGTGTCTATTGAATAAATTGGTCTGTTTGTCTTGCTACCTCCCCTTGTCATTTGTTTACTTTTGAGTGTGAGCTCCCTCCCTTTCTTCCCGTTACCAGGGCATTCAGTACCTTACTGCGTTGGAAAGACTCAACCTCTACTACAACTGTATTTCCTCATTAGCAGAAGTGTTCCGACTCCATTCCTTGTTGGAGCTCACAGACGTGGACTTCCGGCTGAACCCTGTCGTAAAGAACGAGTCTGATTATCGCCTTTTTGTGGTGCACATGCTTCCAAACCTCAGACAGCTCGGTAGGTTACCCTGGCTGAGTGGACATACTGTTCATGCTCTTGGTCACTGGGGCAGTTCAGGCTGTCCTGGGCTTTCAAGTTGATCCTTAAAAGGAACGCTGATTTTCTTTTGAGTGTCCACATAACTCGAGAGCACCTGTGTGTTTTACAAGACCAGTGCTTGTAGGATGGCTGCCGGCGAGGGGTGGCCAGGGAGCCCTGTAAGGAGAGGTGCCATCAGGGTTGGGGACACAGACGCTGAGCCAATAGCGGTGACACTGCCCTCACCACTGTCGTCTCACAGTCTGATGTTGGACGCCTTCTTGAACTTCTCAGTCCCTTTTCTTGTGTGGCCATTGAGGGAATGTGAGTCACAGTTCAGCCTCAATCCAGGGCTGCCTGCCCCTGGGGTTGCCTGGAAGCTGTGTCTGGGGTCCAGTCATGCTAGTCCTTGAAATGGTTAGCTCCTGGGTTTCTTCCTAGATGATCGCCCTGTGAGAGAGAGTGAACGGAAAGCCTCCCGACTGCACTTCACTTCAGAGGAATCACTCGACTCGAAGCAGACTTTCCCAGCTGCTCTGAACCGGGGAAGGTAGGCAGAGCAGGATTTGAACATGCAATTCAGTAGGTCTCTCAGGTCTGTCTGTGGGCAGATGTCTAACCAACACATGACCTCGTGAGCACCGGTGGCCTTATTTCCGGGGCAAGTGCGCACAGAGGACAGGGAGACACTGAGGGTGACCACCAGGAGGTATTGCCATAACCTAACAGCTCTCCACCATCATGTTCCCCTGGTGTGAAAGGAGGAAGCTAGAACCCGATATCCTTTCACTCTCTACCCCATGTGCCACATGGCTATGCTAGGGAAGGTCATAGGGCAGAGGCTTCCAGACGCATCTCACGTCAGCAGCCCTAAAGCGGTTCTGGTTCAGTTCCTTCCAGTCCTGCTGGCAGGCTTCTCCACGGGGCTCACACGGAGATCACTGAGTTTGCGTGTCTTTGTAGACCTCGCCGCTGCAGAGCCAAGGGCGCCGACTCCTTGTCCAAGTGCTTGGTGCTGGATGCGGACGACGAGGCTGTCCTGAATCTCATTGCTGAGTGTGAGTGGGACCTCAGCAACCCACCCGGGAGCACAGGCTCCAGCCAGAGAGAGCGAGAGACAGACCTCTCCAGCTCACAAGGTACCAGCCCAGAGCTCAGGCTCATTCTGGGACAGCTCAGTGCGTGCTCACGTGGTTTAGAAGACTTACCTTCAAGTCCTCTAAATAGTAAACTTGGTGAAGTTTTCATATATCAGCGTTACGGGCAGAAAAGGCAAAGTGTTAAAAATTCAACCTAACCATACACGTATAGCAAGCACAGTTGTTAACATCGAAGTCTTCTTTCAGTTCATGTAGTGGTAAATTGGTCTGTGGCTGGAAAAACTAAAGTCCTTGTTAGCCGCAAGGGATGTTCACTTCCTTCTTAGGATGTATTAGGAGCCCAGGCCCCTGACTGGCACCTTGAACCCTAATGAGGAGGCTGTGTGGACTTGGTTTTCACGAACTCCAAAACAAACCCATTGCCTTCAAATCGATTCTGACTCACAGCAACCCTATGCAGGGTTTCCCAAACTGTAACTTCTTATGGGTCAGAAAGCCTCCTCTTTCTCCTGAGAAGCAGCTGGTGGGTTTGAAGTGCCAGCCTTGTGGTTAGCAGTCCATTGCTTACCCTTCGGCACCACCAGGACACCTTCTGTTTCACTTTGTTATTATTGTTAGGTGCCATGGACTTGGCACCGACTCAGAGCAACCTCTGCACAACAGAACAAACACTGCGTGGCCCTGTGCCAACCTCACGATTGTTGTTAAATGTTTGAAATCCATTGCTGCTGCCACGGTGTCAGTCCATCTCACTGGGGGTCTTCCGCTGTTTCACCAACCTCCCACTTTACCAAACATGATATCCTTCTCCGGGGACTAATCCCTTCTGAGAGTATGTCCGAAGTATAACAGCCGAAGTCTGGCCATCCAGGCTTCCAAGGAGCACTCTGGCTGTATGGCTTCCAGCACAGATCTGTTGGTTCTTTTGGCAGCCCATGGTATTTCAGTTTTCTCCTCCAACACCGTAAGTCAAAGGCATCAACTCTTCTACGATCTTCCTTATTCGCTGCACAACTTTCACATGCATATGAGGCTATTGAAAATACCATTGCTGGGTCAGGCACACCTTAGTCCTCAAACTGATACCTTTGCTTTTGAGCACTTTAAAGAGGTCTTGTGCAGTGGATTTGCCCGATGTAATACGTCGTATGATTTCTTGACTGTTGCTTCCATGAGTGTTGATGGTTGATCTGAGCAAAATTAAGTCTTTGACAACTTCAATCTTTCCTCCTTGTATATGCATTGTTTTTCACTAGGACTTGTTTATAAGCTTCAGCTTTCTTTATTCCTCTTCCATGATGGGCTTCTAAGAGCTGTTCATTCTAACAAGTGGCAGCGTACACTGGGCTTGAGCCCCTGGGCCTCTGCCCTGCGCTGTGCTCTTGGACACCCACCGTGGTGGGCCTGGGTCAGCATCTCTCCACCCCTACAGTCTGCCCTTTTCATGGTGCAGATGCCACTTGATGCTAATTAGCAGGAAGATTTTTTCAAGAGGGTTTGAAAGGTAGAAATAATATACAAGACTTAGACGAAAGGGAAGTTAAAAGATTTCAATAAAACAATAAACATAAGGTAGAACATTCTTGTCACCTCAGCTAGAGTGAGAAAATGTCTTGTGTACTCCACATGCCAAGAAGGGATGGTGCAGTACACCCTGAGACCAACGTGTCCACTCCAGAAGGGCTGAGTGGATGTGGCGTAGCGGGACTTTCCCAAGACCCCCCATGCCCACTCCACAGGGTCTGGGTGGAGGTGGTGTAAGGGGGATGTCCACTCCACAGGGAGGGACTGAATGGATGTGGTATAGGGGGGCTCACCTGAGACCCCCCCATGCCCACTCCACAGGGTCTGGGTGGAGGTGGTGTAAGGGGGACCCACCTAAGACCAC